TTTCCAGTGTTGAAAGAGAAGGGTGGGGAGAACCCTCCATCTAGTTTTCTGTACCCTGTGAAATAATCCTTCAAAAATGAAGGAGAAATGAAACTTTTATCAGACTAACAACTTGAGAGAACATGTCAGTTTTTCTGCCTTTCGAAATGTGTTACATAAAGGACACTTTTCAGGGAAGGAAAAAGACAAAGGTCAGAACTACATTCACATGATAAAGGAGCAAAACCAACAAAGAATGAATGTTGAAGGCAAAATAACTTTACTTTGCTCCTTAAATTTTTTTTTAAAAAGCATAGTGTATTCATGTGTATAAGTACATATGTACATATGCTTATGTATAAGTAAAATGAATAGCAACAATAGCAATAGGGACAGGAGGAGGAATTATAAATATTTGGGAATGTTGTGTGTACCCATTTGTGTGTGTTGTGTGTGCAGGTGCAGGTGCACATGCCTGTGTGTGCGCAGGGAGGCCAGAGGTCAACACACAACAACGTTGTGTGTCTTCCTCAATCACTTTCCACTTGATTTTTTTTTTTTTGAGACAGGCTCTTTCATTGACCCCAAAGCTCATGGATTTGGCTAGACTAGTTGATCATCAAACTCCAGGGGTCATCCTGTCTTCACCTTCCCAGTGCAGGGATTACAGGTCCAGAAAATCCCACCCAGCTTTTTATGTGAGTGCTGGGGATCCAAACTCAGTACTTCATGTTTGCACAACAAGTGCTTTCCTGAGTCATCTCCCCAGCCACCATGTTTTGCTATTTGAAAATGCTCCCACTAACAGCACGGTGTTGCTTCAGTTGACATGGATTACATGCAAATGCTTGTTGTGAAGTCTAGAGCAACAATTTAAAAGAACTAACAAGAAACAAAATAATTGCTATGCTGAGGAGGGACTATAATGGAAAGCATAAAATGCTCAGCACACCCTCATAATGCTAAAGAAGAATGAGAAAAAGATGAGAAGAAAGAGGAGGAAAAGAATGAATCACAAAGAGAAAATTGTTATTTTTAATTCAACTGTATTAAATTAATTCAACTATATTAAGAATCATGTCAGCTGGAGGGTGGTAGCGCACACCTTTAATCCCACCACTCAGAGACAGAGGTAGGTGAAACTTTGTGAGTTTGAAGTCAACCTGGTCTACAGAGCTAGTTCCAGGACAGCCAGGGTTACACAGTGAAACCCTGTCTCAAAAACAAAAAGCAAAGCAAAAAAAAAAAAAATGGCAAATATCAGTCACCTACATGTCCTCTGAACAAGAGAGTGTAAGAGTGAGTCAGACATCAACCTTTGCCTGTGATTTCTCCAAGGAACACACTTTGAAGCCAAATACAAGTTAATAAAGGGTTGGTGGTGATTACACCGTGCGTACACTCGGAAGAAAGTGGGAACGGCTGCATGCATTTCAGACACAGTAAACCCAGATCAAGCTTGATTCTTATAATCAAGTGGAGCATTCTGCAATGAACACCGGATGAGTACTGTAAAGGAAATCCTGAATGAGTATGCACATAATGAGAAATAAACTTCATGAACAACTGATAAGCCTAACAAAAGTGGCTAATTGTACTGTTTAGTTAGAGACTTAGGAGAACAAAGTCAGGGCACTGACACTTCTCACAGCAGATCCTCACCTGGGAAATGGCTTCGGTTTCCTCATTCTGTCTTCTAAGATGCTCTTTATTCCATTTTCTCCCCTCCTTCCTCAGGGAAGATCGACTTCTCGGCAGAGGGAAAGCCTCCATCGTGCATCAGATTGGATTGCATAATCCCCACGGATCTGTGATCTTATGACTTGATGGCTCTCACTCCTGGACTCCCCCCCACCTCCCCGCGCTGACCCTTCTAGACTCATTTCTTCCCTCACTCCTTTGCAACAAATGGTTTCTTGCAGGTGGAGGTTACACACTGACACCTGAGAAGAAGGTAAAAGTACACCATGTTGCTGCCATCACCTCTCTGATTCTGTCAGTCAGGCGAGGGCCCAAGAGTGCAAACTTCATATAAGTTCTCAAATGGGACAGAGATCACACGTTGGGACCCGTTGAGGCATTGAGGCCTTAAGACCATTCAGTAACAAAGCCTACTAGGATTTTTCAGTGTGTTTGACAGCCTTTATTGTAAATTTGGCTTTCAAATTCCATAGCCTCCACCATCTTGCTCCTTTTGTCTTAGGTATCTTCCAACCCGATAGAAGCTTGGCTGCTTTTCACCCCTCTGCTTATTAAAGTCATTCGATTTTCAAGTCTCATTCTAACCAATTCATCTATTATTGGACTCTTGAGTAGACCAATTTTTCACCAACACACATGCTTCTTCCTCTGAATTCCTATCTCTTATTCAAGGATATGCCAAGTGTTTTTAGAGCCTAGATTTTTTATAATTTAGGGGTAACAGTGTCTCTTTTTAAAAGATTACAAAATTATCCATACAAAATGAGGGACAGGACCTTGGATAGTAGTAAGGTAGGTGCTAAGTTGAGTGAAGGTCTTTGAAATCATGGCTTTGTTAGTGTCACAGGAAGTCCATCTCAGGTCTTGCCATAGCCCAATGTCTCCTCTTTAATTGTCCTCCTTAGGTCCATACTTCCCGTCTTTGCTTTTGTCTTTTTCTAGACATGTCTCTGCTCTGGCCCCTCTTCTCTCCCTCCCCTTCTCTCGCCTCTCATCTTTTTCTTTCTCATCCTTTTCTTTCCCATTACCTTCCTCTTCTTCCTCCTCCTCCTCTTCTTCTCCCTCCTCATCTTTCTCTCCCTCCTGCCCTCCTCCCTGCAGTTTTATCAGCTTTATTCAAGATGTCACAATGAGTAAGAATGACCCAAGAAGAAACATGATGGCCTTCAGTAGGTGAATAAACTGTGGTATATACAGAAAAAGGAATGTTATCCAGCAGCAAAAATCAATGAGCCATCAAGCAGTAAAAGCTACATAGAGAACTATTGCTTATTCCTAAGTGAAAGAAGTCAACCTGAAAAGACCACAGATCACACAGCTCCAGCTTAAGTCAAATGTTCTAAAGCAGTAAAGCACCAGCAGTTGCCAGGAGTTGAGTGGAAGTGAGGGAAGAGGCATAAGGACACAGGAACTCTTAGGGCAGAGAAACTAGTCTGTGTGATGCTACACATCCCATCACACCTTGGTCAAAACTCACGTACAGAGCAGTGTCCCACTAAGAATGAGTTCTGTTGTTGCCAAACCAGACCAATGACTCTTTGCAAGGAACACTTACAAGTAAAGATATATGGACAAAAGGGTTTACTGCAAAACTCACACTACAGCTTTCATGATGAGACTGTTCCTTTTTTAAAATTTTCTTTTTTTTTTCTTAATTTTATCTTGAGGGGGGTTGCAAGGGCAGAGGGTGGATACAAAGGTACAGGGAAATTAATGGGATAGAGATGCATGATGTGAAAGACAGAAAGAATAAAAAGAAAGCTTAAAAAAATAAAAAGATGAGCTCTGTTGTAAATTGTCCTGGGTAGGTTTCTATTGTTGTGATAAAACACCAACTAAAAGTGTGGGGCGTTTACCCACCAGCCCCACAGTTCCCCAGAGTTTTCTTGAGTGTGAGCAGCAGGAAATATTAGATAGAAGGATTTATTGCGGAGAATATCGCAGAGATAAACAGATAGAAAATAAAGGATAGCCTCGAGAGGGCCTGGAACCTATTCCAATAGGCCCCGACTGTCTCTGCCCCAGGGTTTTTATAGAGATGCCAAGGGGTGGAGCAAAAGACCTCCTCCCCCAGCACAGCCAAGTGCAGACCATCTCAGACACCTGCACTCAGGCCCATGGTCCTAATCATCCTCTATTCAGACATGCTGGGTAAAGCCACGAGGAACCTGAGAATGGGCTCCCACATAAAAGCAACTTGGGAAGGAAAGGGTTTACTTCAGCTTACAGTTTATAGTCCATAATGGAAGGGGAATCAAGGCAGGAACTGAAGCAGAGGCCATGGAGGAGCTGCGCACTGGCTTGTTCCCCAAGGCTTGCTCAGCCTGACTTTTTATACCATGGAGGACCAGCTGCCTAGGGGTTGCACCACTCACAGTGAGCTAGACCTTCCCACATCAATCATCAGTGAAGAAAATGAACTACAGACTTGCCTGTAGACAACCTGATGGAGGCATTTTCTCAACTGAGGTTCTCATCCCAGATAACTCAAGGTTGTGTCAAGTTGACAAACAACTAGTCAACCCATAACCAGTTTTCATTGTGGATAATGATGTATCAATGTAGACTCGTTGGTTGTAAAAAAAAACAAGTAATGCAGTAATGCATTTTTTTTATAAATCTTTTGTGTTCTCTATGCCTCTATTTAATATAAAAGTTTACTGAGTTTTGAAGAGATGTTTGTATACTCATGTTCACAGATGTATTTACCATATCAAAAATGTGGAATTAACTTGAGCCATTTGTAGATGAATGGCTATGAAAAATACTATATAATATATATTACATAAAGTGTATAATTATATACAATGCCTATCATTCAACCTTGAATAGGAAGAAAATTCTGTCATATGATACAATGTGTCTGAGTCTTCAAGACATTATGTTAAGTAAAAGAAGCTAAATACAAAGGGACTAATATTGAGATTGCATTCCTACAAGGTACACTCAAAATCATAGACCAAACGTGGAATTTGTGGATTCATGGATGGGAGGGAAAGAGTTATTATCTAATGAATAAAGACAGTTTTTCAAGATGAAAAAAATCAACTATCAATGAATAGATCAATAGTGGTGATAATTATACAGCTATGTGGATTTACAAAATTCCATTGAACTATTGTTTAAAATGTTGAAAATGGTAAACATACTATGAATATTTTATTGAAATTTAAAGAGACAACTTGATGATTTGTACTCTAATTCATTTGGAATTCTCAAAGAGATTATATCTAAAAGGAAGAATTGTGTCCCATGAAGCTTACAGACTAGAGCTAAGGGTTCCAAAGACACACCCAATGAACACATCTGAAAAGACAGGGTTCACACAAATAAAAGGATTTTATTGACACATGATATTCTATTACAGTAATAAATATAGTACATTCTTCTAAGGCTTAGTTTGCAGTTCAGAAGCTGATGTGCCCATAACTGGACCATCTTGACTTTTGGTACCATCTTTTCAAAGCTGCATTAAAATGGAACATGTGTTGTCTGAGAACCACACACATGTACAAGATTTGCATCAGGCCCTATGCTTCACACCATGAAGGTGACTGGTCCTTATCATCCTTATCCTCCTCACTCCCCTTTTTAAAAAATAGCTACTGCCATAAAAATTCAACATTTCAAATATAAAAATTATTTTATACAAATATAATTCATTATGTAATTATTCTTAAAATACAGCATTGTAATATATGAGCTTGAAACATTATTACTAAAATAAATACTTCCCAGAGAAAATTTCATTCACATCACAAATTATAAAACAGAGCATATAAAAGTAATTCATGATTAAGTCTTTTTCACTGTCTCCCCTACAACTGCTTGGAGACAGTATGCAGTACACACACAGCTAGCTGAGAGCACATGAACATCCTGCACATTTCCATGAGCATCTACTCCTGGGCCTGGCACTGTGCTGCATTAGTTTGCACTAACATGAGTCTCCTTTACTTCAGAAGTCTTAAAGGTCTGTTGCTTTCTGGGAATATACATGTGTCAATTTCCACATTATGGAAATTATCCTGGCCCCTTCATGGGACTGTAACAGTTCTTTTCCTAGGTCAGGGACACATTGATGAAAAGGATGTTTAGATGTGTAGGAGTAGGGCTGGATGGTCTTAACCTTAATTCCCAAGATCTGGGAATGCTTATTACTGAAGGTAATTCGATCACCACATGTTGAGTGGGGCATCTTTCAATACCACCCAGTGCTTTCATACTATTCTAGCATTTGCTTAGAGTGGGACACACAGAATGTGTAGCAGGTAGTACAACCATGTGTCTAAATACCTAGGATAGAAGAAAGATGGGATATGGGCTATAGAAGCCACTGTTTCCAGTTCTCATTACTTCATTCTATCTATAAGCATGATGACTTCAGTTCTTCAATAATGCAAATTAACCACTGCACTGAATAATAAGCTGAACAACTAACCTGGGTGGCACTTATAGCTGCCTTTCCAGCTATTCCTAGAGGGCAAATGTTTTCAGGAAAATACGGCTTGCAAAACATAAGTGGTCCATTGTCAAGTATCTGAAGTGACTTTCCAACCATCTGACTACTGCTAGAAAGCCAGATACCCAGACCCAGATGAACACTCTTGATTTTTCTTCCAAAACAGTCTCTTAAAAAGCAGGGATGGGGACTTCATCCTGTTTTTGAAGGCACAGACAGTGGGGTTCTCCTCCTCCGAGTCCATGAGCAGAGGTCTCTCACGTCATCATTTTGCAATCATTTGTACTTCTTTCTAGAGTCTGATTTTCTATCTTTCCCTTTTTCCTCCTTCTTTGTTTTTCTGTGTGTATGTCCATTAATGTGTGTGTGTGTGTGTGTGTGTGTGTGTGTGTGTGTGTGTGTGCGCGCATGCGCGCACGCGCATGTGTGTGTATGTTCATGTATGTATACGTGCAAGAGGATATCCTCAGGTATTGTCCCTCAGGTGCCTGGCCTGGAACTCTCTATGTGGGCTAGGATCACTTGTCGTAGAGCCCCAAGGATCCACCTGTCCCTGTGTCCCCAGCACTGGGGTTAGCAGCTTGGGGCATGCCTGGCTTTTTCATTTTGCATGGATTCTGAGCATCGACTCAGGTCCACTGAGCTGCTTCTCCAGCATCCCAGCCACTAGAGACGGGTTTCTTGCACTTCTTCTTCTGTCTCCTCTTTCACAGCAGTAATTTGTGGCCGAGGCTTCTGCCTGCTGGAGTGTCGGCTCTGGAAGAGCTTCACCTTTTCCGAGGAGCTAATGGCCTGCTGGAAGATACTCTTCTCGCTCAGAAGGGCCTGAACTGAGTCATATTGCCACACGATGCCCTCTTCTATGACCTAGGGAAAAGGCCAATAGTGAGACCTCATAGAGAGTGAAGATCAAGCCAGTGCAGGAACAGAAATGCACCTAGGCCCAAAGGAGAATACAAGTCCAAAGGAAACACAGGATTCAGAGCTATCTATATCTACTTAATTTTCACATCTGTGAAAGTAGCAATTGGAACTTTAAAAATTCATCTAATACCAGGTGTTACACTCTGTCAGGGAACTGTAGGGCAATTGAAGAGCTTTGGAAACCTAAATAATCCACAATCCATCTCTTACAGACTCTTAAGGTGAGCTATGTACACAGCACCATAAACTTTGAACTTCTTCAAAACTGCTCCTGGGGCCTAACAATTCCAAATTGGCTATGTATGATTGAGTATAATGCCTACAATGTATGCTAAAGTTTTGCAAGCTTGAGGCCAGAGACTAGAGAGCTTGACCCAGTCCCTGACTTTGACCACAGGAGAACAAGAGATGAATCTACTGTCTAGTCGCTTGCAGCTGAGTCATGACAATAGGAATAAAAATGCTTCTGTAAGAAAAGCATTTACCTCCAGAACATTAAAAAGCCTTGGGAAAGTGAAAATGCTGTAGGATCCTTGACCTCCTTTGTGATTAAACAGGAAGGAATTTGTAAAGACCACCTGAAGGAGCTCTGACAACTGGGAAAGAAAATGAGAAGGTGGCTGACAAGGATGCTAACCTGACTTCCAGTAGTAATGAGGACAACGAAACAGGCTTCTCTCCTACTTCATTAAAACCACTACAGTAACGCCCATTCAGTACCTTCCCCAGGGGAAGCTTAGTTATGGAAAGAAACAGATTTCTTTCTTCAATAATACATTTTATGACTTGTTCCCCCAAAGAAAGACCTGAAAGCACAGATATCCAGTCCATGATGCCACTTGGTAATATGCTACCACTGGAGGTGTGCTAGATTTCAATATCGTGCATAGCTCAAGTCAAAGGAAGAAGACTCAAGCAGCCACACCAAGGAGAGCTGGCAGATGTGTGACATATGGATGAAGGAAGGAGTACATGCCTATAGTTTATAGTAACTGTTGTGCAAGATTGCTAACATAAATGGGGAATGAAACAGGGAAGACGTGTAAAAGACTCACCAAAAATCGCTGACAATCCAACATTGCCTCTATCCTGTGTTCACAGAGGATTACTGTGCAGTCATGGAAGGCGTGTTTTAGAGCTTTTCGAATTACTTGGTACGTTCTAGCAAAGCAAGAAAACACCACATAAAACATTACAGAGTAAGAATAATCTGCCTTTATCTTTGACAATATGTAGTGTCCTATAGATTTAGTACTTACTTAAAAAATACTTTTGGCATTCTATTGATACAGAATTAACCACAGTCAGCTTTCTAACCAAGGGCTACATTCTAAGTATTTAATACATTAATAAGACAAATGTTAATAAGGAAATTTCATTAAAAAATGAAACTACATTTTTATGTAGATTCATCAGTTCTTTATTCTGTACTATTAATGTGTTTATAATATAAACAGGATACAGAGGGAAACCATAAGAGTATGTACACATAAATAAATATTTCATCATATGTTGATGAGGTTGAAGAGTTTATATGAAATTCTAAACTCCAGTCAGGAGAGAAACCAGGGCTCTTATTGAATGAAATAAGTTCTTGTGCCCATGTTAAATAGTGACTTCCTCCTGGACAATTATTTGGTAGCCCCTACTTGCAGGCATGGCAGCTGAATGGGAATTTGTATCAATATGAAGTAACAACATTCAATAACTCTACTCCTATTCTGTTATTACAAAACAGAGTTTCTGGAACTCACTTGGGGTCCAGATGGGCACTAGGCTCATCAAGCAGTAAGACCCTGGCCTTACTGAGAACAGATCGGGCCAAGCACATTAATTGCTTGTGGCCATGGCTTAGCACATAACCCCCATCCACAAGGGTAAAGTTGAGCTGCCCAGGAAACTGCTCTATCACAGATTTGAGTCCAACCTGTAAAAAATAAAGAAAACACTGTGCTTAGAAGGGGCACTTGAGATACCACAGAACTAAAATTACTCAAGAGGCTGACATTCTAAAAATACACATGAGTTTGCACAGATTAAATTTCACCCTCAGCTTCCAGCTCCCACTTAGTTTCATTAAGCAAAAGTCTGTTTACAGTACTGGTAGCCCTAAGCTGATTGAAGGATTTCTTTCAGCCCCATACTTCATTCAGGAGTCATTCAGTGTGCACCTGTTAAGTGCCAAGTTCCCCAACAAACAGTGACACACAATGATACCTGCTTCCCGAGGGCTCTGGATTGACAAAGATGTATATAATAATATATGATTAGAATGTGATTTAATATGTGCTTTAAAGATAATATGGCAAATGGTTCACAAGCAGAACTGTTAGAAGACATGACATGACATGATATGTTTACCTTCTATCTGTAATAAGGGATAAGAAACATCATTAAAGAACCAGCTGGTGAAGTTTTAAAAACTTAAACAGTCATCTTCTTCACTTATAAAAACTGAGAAATTAATAACTTTCTCATGAAGTGCAAAATTAGTAAAAAATGGAAAACCACTAAAGTTTAAAGTTTCTTAGATGTCGGGGTAGAATACAGAGATTCATTTATAGTTAATGGTTTATATTTTTAAACTGCAATTTAAAAAGGTTTATAAAGTAAAAGATCAAAAAATCTGTCAAGAATAAAGCATAATTACAGATATCTTGGTGGTTATTCAAATACATGTGCATTATGTCTTCTTGCTAAGAACCACTGAAATGTAGATATGACTGTCTCTTGCCCTTCAGGAATCTGGAATTTAGTATGTGCAGGTAAGATATATACCCACATAACTCTAACATAGGCAGATGGCCTTCAGAAAGATCTCATGATCTTAGAGGGGATTTCAGAAATGGCTCACATATCACAGTTTATGCCAGGCTCATATGTGCTAATTATGGATAGTTCAAATAAGTGGCTGCTTAGAAGTACCTTTTATGTAAACATGTTAAGATTTAAAGGTGTCTGAGATAGTAGGGGATGTAGGCACATTAGACAAGGAAGACTGATGCATCCAAGGAGACTTAATATAACACTTCATCCCTTGTACATGAAGCTTCAATCCCAACTCCAACTTGCCTCCTGTCTCCAGAGTTTGGCTATTTACATAGTATTGATGTCTACCATTAAGCCAATGATTTAAAATGCCTATCTCTAGCCTAGACTTTCTCCCAGTTATTTCTGAAACCTTTCTCTTTGTCAATTATGACATACTGAACCTTGTCTGGACTTTTGTCATTTCTTAAGCATCATACTGCAAGTATCAATGAGTAAATTGTCAATCCATCACAGAAACATTCAAGAGATCTCCCAAAAATGCAGATCTGAGATTAGATTATTTCTCTGTTTTAAATCCTATGGTAGTTCTTTTCCTGGATGAATAAAATGTAAGTATTCTCATGGGGCACAAAAGACATCCTGAACCACCCCCTCCTCATCACACACACACCTACTTTACACATCTCAACATTCCCATGGTTTATCCTACTGCTCAAGTCTGAATATCCATTTAAATATCCTCCATTGTCCGTAGGACAGCCAGGCATCCTGTATTGTTGAATTGCATATGTTTCCCTACATTTCTTGAAAGTAAATATGTGTTCTTCATTTAAGAACACTCTCAACCTCAACATTTATTCATTCATTCATCCATTCATTCATTCATTCATTCATTCATTAGCTACTCTAATCCTCCAATGCTGTAGCCAAACAAAGCAGTCTTTATACATTACAACTTAAGGATAAATGAATTACTGCTAGGTTTAGTTCTGACATTATATACTGTACTCTATAATTCTTCAAGACTCTACAATCCCCCATGTATCAAATTACAAAGTTAAATGTTCCCAAATATGGTTAGATAAATCAGTATCCTATAACAAACTATTTAGTAGTATTTGTAGTTTTTGTTTTGTATAATATTTTTTAAAAAGTTAAAAATGTGAATTGTGCTTTTCCTGCAAGTCCACTAGTGGGCAGTTTAAAAATAAATATCCTTAGTTCCTTTTGCTTACATTCTGCAAGCTTCCGAGGGCCAATTTCCCACTTAAAAGGCCACTGTTGCCATCTTTATACATTAATATGGCAACTTCTAAAAATAACATAACAAGCAAAAGAAAGAGGGGGGAGGGAGGAAGGAAGGAAGGAAGAAAGAGAAAGAAAGAAAGAAAGAAAGAAAGAAAGAAAGAAAGAAAGAAAGAAAGAAAGAAAGAAAGAAAGAAAGAAAGAAAGAAAATCCCATATCCTAACAGCAAGAGTCAAGATACCAAGATCACACAGGCAGCTTACTGGGCTGAAACAGCAGAGGGCCCAAAGTCCGAGCTGCTGTTCTATCTGGCATTCACCAGTCATTGTAGAAAGGCTATTCATTACCGAAAGGAAGATGATAATATCTATTATGAATCAAGCATGAGGATATTTTCATGACACATTTTACATGAGATAAATGAATCCTTCATTTATTCCATCATTCAATCAGAACGTATCAAACACCACTCACGAGTTCACTACTTCAGGCATGACAGATATCACAGAGAGCAGGATATAATGCCATAATCCTCGTGAACTTACAGTTACATAGGAAATATGGAGTGGTCACTAGGTGAATTTTGATCCAGTGCAGGGAATTTTGAGGGACTGGAGGCATGGGATATACCTAGGAAAGTCTCCTTTCTCAAAGCTGGAGGGTCAGGATGGGTTTCAGAAAGAAGTAATGTGTAGCAAAAGGCTTGAATGATAAGGGACAGGAGTGGTGGACTGGGAGGGTTTCCCATGTACAAATCACCAAGGTCCTTTAAGCAATGTCCAACAGGTACCCTGTCCAGCAGGCAATAGATAGGCACAGAGAGGGTGGTAAGCAGAGGAGATGCAGGCTTTAGAAAGCTCTCCAGAGCCAGGCGGTGGTGGCACACGCCTTTAATCCCAGCACTCGGGAGGCAGAGGCAGGCGGATCTCTGTGAGTTCGAGGCCAGCCTGGTCTCCAAAGCAAATTCCAGGAAAGGCACAAAGCTACACAGAGAAACCCTGTCTCGAAAAACCAAAAAAAAAAAAAAAAAAAAGAAAGCTCTCCAGAGCTGCATAGGGGAGGGCACTACCCTGAACCAGCCCAGGAAGGTTAGACTTTTGTCCCAGTGTGTTAGTAGGCTGACACACCCCAGCATGTCCCTGTTTGCATCCACCATAAAGGATTAAAGCCTAGGATTTATGCCTTTTAACCCACATGTCCTTTCTACTGCTGTAGGCTAGGGCTTGGTGCTTCTGTTTCTTTGTGGCCTCTTCAACAAAAACTTGTCACTCTTACTCAAGCCATGGGACATTTAGTTTGGATCAGAAGCAACATCTTTATGATTCTACATTTAAAAGGAAGATCAGTGAAAAGATACATCTAAATATGGACTGACGGCCAAAATCTAGCCATGTGACTTTCTGTATTATATTGGAATCCAAAGTCTTAACCATATCTTCTACCATTTTAGATGATTTTATGATCCTGCTTTCCTGCAAATTTTATGGGGACTTGGCAATAGCTGCAGGTTTTATAAAGCCTAATACCTTCTTTCCCAAGTTCTCTCTAGCACATTGTATTCTTACAGTTCACTCTGTAAAATCACATCAAGGACCTTACAGCATGCCACTTGCAATTTAGTTAATGTTTTCTTTAAAAACCTTGCATTTGCTGGGTAATAAAGAAACCTTGATAATGAAAAACGGTTAATCTCAGTGCATTTTATTGGGGGAGGTTAGGGTTGGTTACTCAAGGGGTTAGCATTTAGCACTCAGAGGCTTCAAAGTTCCTGGCAAGATCTGCTCTGGAGGAAGGCAGAAAAGGGAAACACGGCAAGAGAGCAGCAATGACCAAGGGGCAGGAAATGCTGGAATGCCAGTACGACAAATCCAAAGCCCAAGGACTCAGGGATCTGGCTGAGTTGAGACTGTGGGATTTCCAGCTGCAAACTGATACTGGAATGAGTGAAGGCTTTGGGGGTTGTTGAGATGGAATAATATATTTTCATAAGAACAAGGCATGACTTTGGAGTGGAGTAAAAGAGGGAGGTCTAGGTCTACACATGCAAATCCTTCAGAAACTCACGTTAAAATCTTAACACCCAAGGTAGTGTTAGTGAGAGATAAGACATCTGGGAAGTGATTAGGTCATGGGGTCTGAGTCCTCCATGGATGGGATTGGCCATATAGTAAAAAGAGCCTCCAGAAATTTCATTCACCACTTCTACTGAGTGAGACACAGCAAGAAGTACATCTGTGAACCGACAGGAAGTAGGGCCTCAGCAGACAACAAGTAGTGTCTCCTGCCTCTAGACTTCTCAGCCTGCAAAGTGAGATAAACACACCTTGTCTGTGAACAGCCGAGTCTATGGAACTTTATTAAAGCAGCATGAACAGACTACACAGTAAGGCCCGACTGCCCTGAGGAGATGGATCTGTCTAATTCAAAACGTGAATGTGCTAGGTAAATTAGAGCACTGCGCTTACAATGTACTCATCCACACACACATCCACACTTATACACACACACAGGCAGATGTGTATATCACCTATGGCAACCACACTTGTGTGTATGATCTGCCTCTTCAAAACTATTACATTTAGCATTCTTACCTCATCTGCAACTTCCCATATTTCTTCATCTCTCCATTTCCCATTGGGATCCAGGTTTTGTCTGAATGTTCCAGAAAAGATAAATACTTTCTATAACGATAAAGAAAATTAGAAAGTATGAATAACTTATACATCTTATTTTTTCCTCTTTGTTCCAAAATATTTCAAGTAAGACATGAAACAAAACAAACATCCATGTATTCACTATCTATTTTTCTTAAGTTGTAAGAAATTGTACTTTTATATCACTTTTTTTTTTTTTTTTTTTTTTTTTTTTTTTGGTTTTTCGAGACAGGGTTTCTCTGTGTAGCTTTGCGCCTTTCCTGGAACTCACTTGGTAGCCCAGGCTGGCCTCGAACTCACAGAGATCCGCCTGGCTCTGCCTCCCGAGTGCTGGGATTAAAGGCGTGCGCCACCACCGCCCGGCTTATATCACTTTTAAAGTAAAAATGTAGCAGTGTTTGAAATTCTTTTTGAACTTTTTTTTTTCTAATTTCAATGTCTTTGGGATAAGGAAATTGAGGCCACTGTTTATCGTGGAGAATGGAGTATTTTCTTTTACTTATATTCTTCATTATAAAAAAATGTAGAATCAGAAAAATTAAAAACAACATGTGTATGAGTTAGAATTAAATTTCCATAACAAAGTCCTATTTGATGAAGTAGTTCCCTAAGACACTGTACAACCATGCTAACACACAGAAACGTACTCAAGCACACATGCTCATTTAGTTTATAAATTTGTGCAGTGTCTTACTTAGATAAACAGAGAGAAACAGAAGGCAGGACAACTTAGAAACTCCTAAATGATCATAGATCAGCCATTTGTTCAAAGGCATGTATGCCAGGGAAGAGGCAGATGCTCCAGGTGTGGAAACAGCCCTGCACGGCCATGGCTGAGATGCTCCAGGTGTGGAAACAGCCCTGCATAGCCATGGCTGAGATGCTCCAGGTGTGGAAACAGCCCTGCACGGCCATGGCTGAGATGCTCCAGGTATGGAAACAGCCCTGCACGGCCATGGCTGAGATGCTCCAGGTGTAGTGCCACTTCCCCTTAGGTGGGCCATGCACTTATTTTAAAATAAGTAATATTTTAAAAATAATATTTAGTCCTCTCTGTGCACACAGAAGACTGGCAAAATAATTTTAATGTTTACGTCTAAAATAACTTTCTTGCCTTTTCTTCTCCTGGTTGCCTCTTTGTAACTTTGAAAGAGCAATATATTCAGCTGAAGCACACAATAGGAATGTTTACTTTGGCCAAAAAGAATAATGCCATTATTCTGGAAGACTGAAAGGAGTGAACAAGATGTTTTATCTTCAAAACAGACAGTCACTAAAGGGAATGTGGCTTCCAAAGACACCTTGGTAGTTTGGTTCTGGTTGGGTAGGTCCGGCTACAAACAGGAACTCAGTCTCTTTCATTTCCATGCTTTGTAAAACAAAGCAGTTACATCCCACTTCCATTTTCCCTGCATCTCTATCTCAGAGCATAGCATCTTCATTTTTTCAGTCTAAGAACTGAGAGGCACTCTTGATTTACCTCACTCCTCAGCCTACCTAAATGAAATGAACCATCAGTCATTTATTTTACCCCCAAACTATATGTCAAAATCAATTTATTTCTCAATTTCTGTTCCTACTGAGTGGTCCACACCATCACTAGCTCTCTCTGTGTCACTGAGTTTCCTAATTGATTTCTTTCTTTATACTCTTGCTTCTCTTACAATACACTCAAGTAATCCATGATAAATGGAAATGGGTCATTTCATTAACCTTTTAGAAAACTTGAACTGATTTTCCATTTCACTTAGGGCACACAGTCCTTTCGATGGCCACAAGATCTTATGGCCCCTTTCCACTTCATCCTAGTCTAACCACATAGACTTCCTTAACTTCTTCACATAACCTATTCTTCTCAACTAGAAATATCATCTTCCATGATCTTCACATGGCAAGCTCCAGCTTTCATTTTCAAATTAAATTTCATTTCCTAGTGGCACTGTTCACTATCATCAAACCAAATAAGCTCCCCCAATTATTTCGTATATTTTCAATCCTTAAATAATACTAAGCTTAGGTGCTAGAGATGTTGCTCAGTTGGTAAAAATGCTTACTTAATTTGCAAGAAGCTTGGGTCTGATCCCACAAGCACATAAACTGGGCACAGTCACATGTGCCCATAATTCCAACACTCAGAAGGTAGAAAACAAGAAGATAAAGCTTTCAAGGTTACCTTCGTTATATGGGAAGCCAGAGGCCAATGCAGGTTGCATGTCTCAAAGAAAACAACTATGATTATGTGCACATCTATGAGTGCTTGGTTTCCAATGTTCTTATCTCCCTGAAGACCATGTCTTTACTTTCTATTGTAGACATTAGCTTTGTATAAGTTCAAAAAATGTTGCCCGAATGAGTGTGCTCATATGGAGAAGTAAAAGTACAAAATAATCACAGAGTAAATGTTACTTTTCCTCAATTGTGAAGGTTAACTTCTATCAGCTACTGTCTGGCTAATAAAGGTGTGTGTGTGTCTGTGTGTGTGTGTGTGTGTGTGTGTGTGTGTGTGTGTGTGTGTGTGTGTGTGTGTGTGAAAGAATATGTGTGACAGAGAGAGAGAGAGAGAGAGAAAGAGAGAGAGATCTACTAAATGTGACCCAACCTGCAAGTATCCCAGTTCCTTAAAGTCTAACACTAGCAACCTATTGAACCTGTGAAGATTCCTCATAGCTGCTTCAGAAATAGAACGCCCAATTTTTATTCATAACAGTCTATAATATATTTAGCTTATTAAATTTATGACATTTTAATTAATTTATTTTAAACATACACATTCAAAGTTATGAAGAAAGGAAGTTTTCTTTTAGGAATCTAAAAGCTTTAGCTGTGGTAGATTTATTACAATTCAGAAATCTGGCAAGCCTTTTGTTCATAATTTCTTGTCTAGTAAAAGGTAATGAACTACACATTCAATTTTAAAGAAAAATTGACTGGACAAACTGGTTTGGTTAGAATTCAATTGTATGCAATCAATCAGACATTCCATTCCTGTAATTCAAAGAGAACCTGGTAGTCGCTCGCTCTTGTGGTGCCAGCAGATGTCTTGCTTATGTTTCCTAAATGGTTTGAACACCCTACAAACCCCTCTGTATAACTGAAAGGTCCCTGGAGGTCAACCTAAGCTCTTTCTCTCTGGTTTACAAGTTCAACAGTCACAGCCCTGGGAAGTGGTATGGTTTGGCCAACATGGCACTCTCAGATCCATGCACCAAAGAAATGCACCTGGAACTTTCAATCACAGGGATCCCCTACTGGTCTTGTAAGAAACTACTCACTAATGAGAAAGTTAGGGCAAGCAAATATTTGATATTTATTTAATGTCATGTATGGTATAAAGGGCAATTCGTGAGACTCTAGGCAGAATAAAGAGATCGCCATTGTTCCCCCCATGACTAATCTCTTCCCTGAAACTGACTCCTCCATTCCTCAATTCTGTGGAAGCAGCTGAACCTCCGTGGACTTCTCACGGCTGGTCTATCATTGTAACAGACACTATGCTTTAGTACTAGATGTCAAACGAAAACAAAAGGGCAATTCAGCTTATGTGACGACTGAACTTAATATAAAGTAAATAATGGGAGACGTGAATGTGGCCCAAATGCTTGGCGATATTAATGTGGTAGTTGATAACCCTAACCCTAACCCTAACCCTAACCCTAACCCTAACCCTAATGTGGCCCAAATGCTTGGCAATATTAATGTGGTAAAATGATAAAGTTTCTTATCATTTCTGCAGCACCTTCTGTACAGTAAAAACCCATCCAGGATGAACCATCACAATTCTCAGGTTGCATTAGAATGCTTAAAATTAATCATTGTTTTGCTATAAAGAACATCCATCAGCTAAAAAATTATGAAGAATATACTTCTATTCAGAATTATTAACTGTTTATAACAAATATAGATTGTTATACCATCAGTGTGTATGCCATTTATTTAAATATAGAAAAATGCATATAAGATAGTGGAAGTATAGTTTCCTGGAAATCCATTCAGTGAGTCATAACATTTTCTATACTACTAAGTTTTAGTATAAACCTTTTTAAGGACAGATAAAATGTTTTTCTTTCTTTTTTATTAAATATTTTTATTGTATAATTAACTTAATTTCACATATTGGCCACAGATTCCCCCGTCCTCCCTCCTCCCACCCCCCAGCCCTCCCTCCCAATCCACCCCCCATTCCCACCTCCTCCAAGGCAAGGTCTCCCCTGAGGAGTCTTCCCAGCCTGGTAGATTCAGCTGAGGCAGATCCAGTCCCTTCCTTCCTACACCAAGGCTGAACAAAGTGTCCCAGCATAGGCCCTAGGCTCCAAAAAAACAGTCTACGCATCAAGGACAGGTCTCGGCTCCACGGCCTGGGGGCCTCCCAAATAGTTCAAGCTAGTCAACTGTCTCACTTATCCAGTGGGCCTGGTCCAGTTCCATGGGGGCTTCTCAGCCATTGGTTCACAGTTCATGTGTTTCCACTAGTTTGGCTATTTGTCCCTGTGTTTTTTCCAATCACAGTCTCAATATCTCTCGCTCATACAATCCCTTCTCTCTCTCACCAATTGGACTCCTAGAGCTCCACCTGGGCTCGGCCATGGATCTCTGCATCCGCTTCCATCAGGTACTGGATGAGAGTTCTATCATGACAGCCAGGGTGTTCGGCCATCTGATTACTAGAGCAGGTCAGCTCAGGCACTCTCTGGACCATTGCCAGTAATCTACAGTGGAGGTATCTTTGTGGATTCCTGGAGACCTCTCTAGCACTCTGCTTCTTCCTATTCCCATGGGGTCTTCAATTATCATAGTATCTCCCTCCCCATTTTCCCACTCTGCTCCTGATTCAGCTGGGACCTCCCGCTCCCCTAAGCTCTCTTTCTCCTGACCCTTGACCTCCAGTACCCCCTTCACCCCCAGTTTGCTCATGTAGATCTCATCCATTTCTCTGTCATTGGGGAATCCCTGTGTCTTTCTTAGGGTCCTCTTTACTAGGTAGCCTCCCTGGAGTCGTGAGTTGCAGTCTGGTTATCCTTTGCTTTACATCTAGTATCCACTTATGAGTGAGTACATACCAATTAATAAATGGGACCGCTTGAAACTGAAAAGCTTTTGAAAGGCAAAGGACATGGTCAACAAGACAAAATGACAACCTACAGAATGGGAAAAGATCTTCACCAACCCCACATCTGACAGAGGGCTGATATCCAGAACATATAAAGAACTCAAGAAATTAGACATCAAAATACCCAACAGTCCAATTAAAAAATGGGCTATAGAGCTAAACAGAGAATTCTCAAGAGAAGAAGCTCAAATGGCTGAAAGACATTTAAGGAATTGCTCAACATCCTTAGTCATCAGGGAAATGCAAATCAAAACGATTCTGAGCTACCATCTTACACCTGTTAGTATGGCTAAGATCAAAAACACTGAAGACAGCCTATGTTGGAGAGGATGTGGAGCAAGGGGAACACTACTCCACTGTTGGTGGGAATGCAAACTTGTACAGCTGATGTGGATATCGCTCTGTATAAATAAAATGCTGATTGGCCAGTAGCCAGGCAGGAAGTATAGGTGGGACAAGCAGAGAAGAGGATTCTGGGAAGTGGAGGCTGAGGCAGGAGAGACACTGCTAGCCGCCATGAGGAGAAGCAACATGTTAAGATACCGGTAAGCCACAAGCCACGTGGCAACTTATAGATTAATAGAAATGGGTTAATTTAAGATATAAGAATAGTTGGCAAGAAACCTGCTACGGCCATACAGTTTGTAAGCAATATAAGCATCTGTGTGTTTATTTTATAAGTCGGCTGTCGGACTGCCGGGGCTTGGTGGGACCCGGAGAAAAAAACCCAGCTACATACAGCCACTTTGGAAATCAATATGGTGCTTTCTTAGAAAATTGGGAATCAACCTCCCTCAAGACCCAGCTATACCACTCTTGGGCATATACCTAAGGAATGCTCAATCATACCATAAGGACACATGCTTTCATAGCATTATTTGTAATAGCCAGAAGCTGGAAACAACCTCGATGCCCTTCAACGGAAGAATGGATAAATAAAATGTGGTACATATACACAATGGAGTACTACTCAGCAGAAAAAAACAATGACATCATGAGGTTTGCAGGCAAATGGATGGAACTAGAAAAAATCATCCTGAGTGAGGTAACCCAGACTCAGAAAAAATGTTTTTTTCTAATTAAAGTATATAATCAAAGGTTTTGAATTTTAGGCTCAGAAATAGCTAAACTGTGTTGTATTTATTTGAAAATAGGACACATCAGTTATTTTTATGCCCTCCCTTGAATTCTGCACTGTGTCCAACTATCTATATCAGTAAGTTCTAATTAATCACATCACAGTGTGATCATCTGAGGGTCCATCATGAATGTACCAATGCTCAATATACCTTCTCCAGGCCCTTCCTTACCCCAGGAGAATCAGTCCCTAGCTGCTAGACCATGCCATGACTTCTCCTAATACTCCCTAACCTGTGATTGCCTCTGACACTTCTTTTTTCCCTTCATATTGACCTGTCTTGTTCATAGTCTCCCTGCCTAGAACCCCATGTACGCAATCTTTCTAAACCTATAAACTTTATGACACTTTCTGACGTGTGTTCTTTACAACTTTGTGAAACTGTCTACACTCATTTATTCATACTTATAGACCATACCTCAGTCCAATAACAGACAAAGGAGGCATGACTATTTTCTTCATAGAATTACAAATGATAATAATAGCCATCACATACAGAATAAGCAATGTGGATAGGAGGAATCTAAACACTTTTCATTTGGTTCTCACAAAAGTACAAGGAATTGTTATTATCACTATACTCATTTTACAAATAAGGAGACTATGACACAGAGAAATAAAACAAGTGGCCTAAGATTATACAGATTAGAGCCCAAACGCTGACAGAGCCACAAATGTGAGACAGCAGCATTTAGTGATTCAGCATAGAACAATGTATTTTGAATTCCACTCATGCAAGGTGTTATGTTACACATCTTATACAGAGGGAAAAATTCAGAAGAAAATGATTTTATTTAGTATTTCTATCATTCTTTTTGTAATTTTGCTACAAATTTTTTGATCATTGTTTTTAAATCTTGCATTTTAACTAGAATATCTAGAATGTGTTCAAATTCTAAGCATAACTTAAATGAACATGCAGATAATTTGAAAATAAGACCTATCAGAAGTACAAGGAGAAAGTCATAAACAAGGTTTGAGACTCCATCTGGGTGTGGACAGTGAAAGCAGAACATTTGCATTGGAGAAAAAAATCCTCAATTATTGAAGTCTGACTAGGAAACAGTTACATGTTTGCTGCAGACAGAGAGATAACAAGGAAAGAAAGAGAAGACAAACAGCAGGAAAGGAGGGACACTGATGTCCTGGAGGCAGTGACAGCAGCTTTGGGGTCTGGTCATTTATCACTGTCCACACACCAACCCAAACCTTGACAGACAGCTCTGTTCAATTACTCATCTTCAGTTTCTCACTTTGGTCTCAGTTGTTTCTTTAATCTCTGTCATATGACAATGAGCATCATTTTGAGTTTCTCGTTAGAAGTTTACAGGTTGGACTGGAACTCTGTGGCATAACAAGGACAAGTAGTATCTCTACATTTGATATAGCTAAAAAGTCTGTAATATAGCTACAAGCACAAAGTTTAGTAATTTTATATGGTAAATTTTAAGCTGTCACCCGTTGCCCTAGCACATGCTATCTGATAGCTTCCAAAGTGAAAGATTCCCCCACTCTGTCTGTGGTGAGAGTGATGGGTGGATGTTGGGTATTTTCAAACCATTAAGAAAAGAAGCCAGTGAGATGGCTCGGCGGATAAAAACATTTGTCACACAAGCCTCATGACCTGAATCCAAACTCCACATTCCATGGTGGGAGGAGAGAACAGATTCCTGAACGTTGTGCTCTGACCTCTGCAAGTGTTTCATATCGTGTATATAGCCACACATTCTCCTTCCCTCTCATACACATACCATGTACAATAAAAAATAAATGAAAACAAAAAATAAAAGTTCTCATCATTTACTCAGAAGAGCTTCCAGTCCTCCAAATTTGTAACCGAAGCTTTAAAATAATGCTTTTTCACTAACTTTCCTGCTTAACAAGGTCCACAGTTCGTGAACATTTTCATATTGGTATTCTGATTGTTTAAGCCAATGAGCTGCCAACTATGAGCTTCACTGTCTTCTCTTCTTGACTCGAAACTCAGAGCCAAAATAGAACAAATGGAAGAGGCTCTGCTTTGGAATGTACTCGACAGTCCGTCACTTACGCAGAAAGGCAAGACAGATTTCCCTAACTCCGGCCCATTCTGTTGTCTTCTGGGTCTTGTTTCTGTAACTTCCTGAGCAGAACTAGCAAGGAGTAGAGAGCCCTTCTATTGTGTGGCAGGCACAATGAAGGACAAGAGGAGTGACCTTTTAGAGTCAGCTTTTCTAGTGGGTAGCCGTGTGTGAACAGGGACAAGAGGCGAAGATGTCACTGCGTTCTTTAGAACTGGGAGCAGAAGACTTAGGGAAACTCCATGGCAGTGCTTCCCTGACAACCACACTGGCTTCCACTGTTCTCGGCATTTTTACTCGCCTAATTCTATCACCTCAGGAACCCTGCCTGTCTAACGTTTCTTTATCTTTAGACCGCCTGACAATCCCTTTTGTCTTTTTAAGGAAAAAATTATGTTTCCACAACTCCATCCAGGATGAAGCTTCTGGAGAAACGGCAAACTATAGAAATGAATTGAAAGCATCAGTTTGGCAGTTACAATATTTAGTGCTTCACCACGTGAAAGGAGCAAATATTCTGTGAAGACCATTTGTCAAGAATACAAGCATTTTCTTGGTCTAGATTTGCAGTTGGTCTACCTGGTGATGCTTCTGGCATGCTAATTTTGTGTTAAAAGTACAGGGGTGCTTAAAAGAACCGTCTTAGTGGAGTGGGTTCTGTGTTTAGCAGAACAAAAGGAGGAAAAGTATTGGAGAAAGGGCAAACAGCAGCCCCAACACTGTCAGTGTCTTCTGGCTTCAGTCTCAGTAAAGATCTCTTGGTTTGCATTTGGGTCACTTTGGCAACTGTTGCTGTTTCTCTTCTGTACAGGATGTCAGCTTGTGCAGTACCACACACAGAACGGCACTGAACAGTGAGATGAGAGATCTTGTATGACCCAAATCAAGGGTGGAAATGTACAAGCTATAGATTAATCTGACATAGTTCTTCCTATTCCAACTCCAAAGGACAACCACTGCACTTTTGATTTCCAGTTCCACTGTGTCACGCTTCCAAGAGCTCGTGATTTCAGAAGCATTTTTCACATCTTGCAAAGCATTTACCCATGGGCTTCTATCGCTCACTTGGAGCTCTGAATACTGACACAGGACTATGAAACCAGTCACAAAAACGCCCTAGGCTGCTGCTACAGACTGTGCTTTAGAAAAAAAAAAAAACAAAAAACAAAAACAAAAACAAAAAAAAAAAAAAAACCACTACCAAAGCATTTCAACAAATACACATCACACAGAATTCCAAACTTTGGGAGTTACTTTTTATGCCTTATTGTACATTTTTCTTCCACAGCAGGAGAGATAGCAGAACCCACCAAATATATTTTGCAGAGTGATAAGAATTTCTTAAGTACATCAAACAATGAGAAAAATGTTGTGTTTTTACATTTTTGTGCTCACCTGTGTTATTACTCCAAAAGCTTTCCTCCATTCTTGTAAGGTCACGGAGTTCCACGAGACGCCATCGATCTGTATATCGCCTTGAACATTCAACAAGCGTAAAAACGCTGACAGCAGAGTACTCTTTCCTGAGCCAGTTCTTCCTAAGAGGCCCACCTAAGGTGTAAGTGATGGGGTTACTCCTGAGACAAGGAGAGCACACTGCAGATTCCACTCAGGACTGCTTCTCAGTTAAAACCAGCAGGACTGTTTCTCTTGATACCCAGTCATTTAAACCTTTTACACACTCCCAATTCTCATCATTAGCAATACAGGAAGAATAATCCGGAACAGAAATCAGAAACTGGCCATCAGGGATTGTATTCCTGATGCTGGCTTCATTGGCCACTGATGAGAACAAGGTGGAAAGTGCCCATTTTTACATTAAGAAAAGGTGAAAATAGCCTATCTTGATGCAAATCAGCTCTACAGATGAGCTCAAACTAAAATCAGGGACCTACAGCTAGATGTACTTTTGAACATGGATACAAACTTGAAAACTGACTGAAAACAGGCCTAACATTTATTTATTGCCCCTGGACAAGGGAGTGTGCCTCATGAGTGGAGCCACACTTTCTAGCATGTACAAGGCCCTGGGCTTGGGCCCCATCATTGAAAAGGAGAAGAAAGATTCTGCTCCTAAGAAATTAAACAGTGTCAAGTTTAGACCTGATGATAAAATAAGAATATGTTCAGGAAAGTATATATTCTCATAGAATGCAGGTTGATCTGAGGTTTCAATATAGCTCAGCTCTCTGGTAATGTTCAAATCAAGTGCTAATATGTGACCCTAGTGGCAAGAAGGGAACTTCAAGAAGCAAAAAACTAACTATTATTAACGAAACTACTATTAAAGAAACTATTCTCGCTATCCAAAGACCAAGGCTACAAGAGGACAGCATTGGATCGAGGCTTCCTCCAATTACATGAGGACATCAGCAGTCTAGGCAGCCCTCAAAGCTCACACACTTTGTTCTGATATAGGCTTGGCTCCCTAAGACCATTAACTGACCAAAGAAAAACCTGCTGGATATCTGCAGCACTTAAAATGTGTTTCATCCTGTTCACATCGCCCCTTGATTTCTTATCATCTGACCTTTCTAGAGAGAAAGTGTCACTTATAAAAGTGCTCTTCACATAAATTCACTGCAAATTAGTACTTTAAATATATTATAAAATGAACTTCTAATTATTTGCAGACTCTATACTTATTTCATCGTAGGCTAGTAATAACTTATAAACCCAAACCATGGCATGGGACTCAATAAATGAAAATAATAAAAGTAACTTACTAGGTATTTATTAGTAACTTGGTAACAAGGTAGGCCTTTGTGATAAGCTGGTAAAGAGTAATGACAATAATCACTGCCTTCCTAAGCAACAGAAGAACTCTACAAGGTAATTTTCATAAATCTTTTTTCTTGGAAAAATATGATCAAGCAAATGTTATGCAGAAGTTGGCAATTATTTATGTTCTCTATTCCTTGTATTTATATAAAGAATATATATTCAACAAAGGTTGCATAATTTACCTAGTTTTTCTGTTTCTTCATCAGGGATAAGGTGGTCTAAACAAGATCCTCAATAAATACTTCCCTGAACTGAATGAGGGATAATTAGTTTGGAGGATAAAGGATGAAAAAAATGGGTGGATGCAAGAGTGGATGAATAATGGACCAATGTGCACTTGGTTTACAAAAGGCGCTCAATAAATACTAGGGTTGGCTGAAAGACAGATAGATGAGCCAATGAATGAGCAGATATATATTTATTTGACCTTACAAATAAATAATAGACTTATTTAATTTTGTTCAATTACTAGATCAAATCTTAATTTTAAAACTTTGAGAAATTCCATGTGTACGTTTCTATTTCTGCACTAGCCCATGTTGAACATGTACATGTACATATTCGCCATATGTCCTAATTTTTCCAACACTGCAGTGAAGCATTACATAAGAAATCAGAATGTATCAGTGCAGGTGATGTACAGGAGAAAAAAAAAGAAAGTGAAATTCAACAGATGAAAGTGATATTTGGTAGAAAGAACCTTGAAGTAAAAATTCCGAGTAGGGTAAACGACCATGCTTCATTTCTTCCAGAAGGAAATGCTGAAATATTCAGAGAACTCAGTTCTTATATTGGGATAATACTGGGCTGAGAGGCAATTAATAAATATTTTCTTTAGCTTTAAACCCTCCAGCTATTGCTCTGGTTTCCTCACGTCAAAGTGCTGACATGTATTATGTCTGACCAGTTTTTCAACAGCAAGGAGCCTAATTGTTTTATACCCTAACAAAGTCGTCTTGTTGAATAACTGTCATATAATAATTATCTTCTTATTTGTAAGAGCACTTCCTGCAAATAAGCTCTTAAGACATATCCTAAGCTCAAGTCAATGGTTTTTAGTAACTTCAATGTACCTCATCTCTGGAAATTTTGGATCAAGATAAATCAAACTATGATGTGGAGAGCTAAGCAGTTCTGAACTGAGCATGAACAGGAGTTGCACTGTATTATGAGTACAGCAGTTGTGGTGCGGTCCCTTTAAAGCACCGTACCTGCACTTAACAGGCGGCAGAGGGAAATGCACTGTAATTATCTCATTTCTTTGTGGTCTACAGAAACCAAGACAGCCAGTCAAATGCAATGTAGATTCACAGGTGATTATAACTGAGACCCTGTTTCGTATTAGTAAGACACATGGGCTACTCAAATGATTGATTGACTCAGCAGCTTCACTCCAGATTTCATAAAGACAGAATGAGGTGTATGCTTAACAAATCAAACACATATTTAGGTGTGTTGATTTGATCAGAACACAGATATTCTAATGAACAATGTTTTGTACTGCAGTATTTTGAATAGACTACAAATGGAGACAGCAGCTAAAGTTATCAAAATAGATCCTAAAGGAATAGATCCCTAAGAAGGACTAAACATCTAATTACAGGACTATTCAGTACTATAATATAATGCAATGTGCTAGCTGAAGAATTTGGTAAGTACAGATTTATCTATCAGGATAGATCTAACTCGCAATTAAAACCCCTGTCTTTATTTTGTGTGAATATAGGGGTCCCAGGTGAGACACTGTAGATAGATAGATGATAGATAGGTAGATAGATAGATAAATAGATAGATGGATGGATGGATGGATGGATGGACGGACAGATAGAGATAGAGATAGAAAGATAGATGATGGATGGATGGACAGACAGACACAGACAGACAGATTGATTGAATTTGAATCTACTTCAGAAAAGCAATCTGGCTGTTAAAAATTTAGATTAAAATAATCAAATGTTTTTTAAGGAAAAGTTTGAGATTAAAAAGGAGAAAAGATTTCTGTGTTTGTGTGTGCCGTTGGGGACTGAAGCCAGGGTGTCAGTTTGCAGGGTAAGTAGTCTACCAACTCAGCTATGCACCAAGCCACAAATGTATTTTTAAGGAAAAAATTGTAAATTAGTTGTTATATTCTTCATGCATTGAAAATGAAACAACAAAAAATAAATTTTGTGAGATATTTGATTAAGAGCCAATAAAACAAGACATTTTCTCCTGAAGTAACTTTCATAAACAAAGTGTTTTAATACCAAGACTGAATAATTTTTCTACACAAAATATTTACTTTTTCATATAGCTAAGAATACTAAATTCATTAAAAATCAAAAGATTAATATTTAAGCTCAATTTTCAACTGCCTTTTTAAATAAGTAATTTGCCAGAAATTGACTTTGCATAATGTTTTGCAATATCAAAAATATTCAAATATATTTGAATTTATTCCTTCATTCAATTCAGCATATGGGAAATATGTTTGAAACATCCTGTTATAATTTAAAGGCAAGGCTGTAGAATGGATATTCTGGAGACAACTGTTCAGAATGCTGTTTTAAAAGTCAATTCCAATTCTAAGAAAGAATCTCACCTACTAGTAAGATTAAGTCATTTACTTATGTGGAGCTTGGATACAAATCACTCTGGTTTTCCTTTGTTTTTTTTTTTGAGATAAGGTTTCTCTGTGTAACAACCTTGGCTGTCCTGGAACTTGCTTTGTAGATCAGGTTGGCCTTGAACTCTCAGAGGATTCACCAGCCTCTGCCTACTGAGTGCTGGGATTAAAGGAGTGCGCCACCACTGCCAGGCAAGTCATACCACCTTAATTAAAAAGACTGAAGAGCAGATTTTCTGTCAGGGAGGTAAAGCCACAGAGCAAAGGACTGTGCCCTAGAACTAGAGAGAAAGACAAGCAGATACAGTCATACTTGACAAGCAGAAACCAGCAAGGAGACACCTCGAGGGAGCCAGTACCAGAAGTCTACTGAAAAATGGCCCTGGCTAATTGTGGACTATGGAGAGGGAAGCCATCTCCAGCACCCTCCAGTGACCTCTCTGGAAGACTAGAGGACGTTCCCTTAGGTTTCAAGCAACCACAGGAGAGAGGGACCATTCTAAGTTAGGCCAGAACACTGTCTTCCTTTTAAGACCCCCTCTTGAGTGACTCTATTTTATCATATCTACTTCCTGAAGATTTGTTTCCAGAGCCCAGCCTCACTTTAGGAAACAGAAACATTTAGTGCCAGTCCACTCCAACTGTTCTGCACTATCAAAAGGGATGAACAAGATGATGGCACTTACACACTCACAGCTGAAGGCATAATTTCTCCAACCTACTAAGACATAATCACAGAGCTACAGAACTCTACACGCCAACATGTATCCAGTCAATTACTAACAGTCTATTATTACAGTCCCATGACCAAGCACACCACATAAGTTTAGCTTTCAAGAGAACAATTACTAAACATGGTAAAAAGAAAAAAAGTAAATAATAAGCAATATTAGGAAAGAAGAAAGTCGGATATGACAAAGACACATAATTAACAGACTAGGAATGGAAAACAACTATGATTAATGTGATAAGGGTTTTATGGGAAAGTTAGCATATAGAAACAGATAGATCATTAGTAAAAAGGGGTCATTCCAAGACAGAATCAAAAGAACTCTAAAACTATAACAAAAAAATTACTCCAACAAAGATGAAGAATGCCTTGGTGAGGTCATCAACAGTTCAGATACGTCTGAGGAAGGAACTTTTGAGCGTGAGGATGTCAATAAAAGCAGCCAACAACAAAAATGCCTCAGGAAAAAATAACAGGATAGCCAAGAAACATGAAAAACTAGAAAAAAAGTGTAACATGTATATAATGTAAATACCAAAGAAAGAAAGAAGGCAAAAAAAGGAAGGAGGAAGGGAAGGAGGAAAACAAGAGGCTAGAAATAAAGGACTGAGGGAAATATTTCAAAGACAGCAAGAATCTGCCCCCCTCACAAGCAGTGTCATACACTCCATACAAAGAGAAAAACAAACATGCAGAATGTTGCTCAAAGCCAGAGCCATACCACAACAATCATCTTCAAACTACAAAAATCATGAAAAAAAACCTTTTGAAGAAAGCCCAGAGGAAAAAACTCATTATTTACAAAAAAAAAAAAAAAATTGCGATAAGAATTACTTAGAACCTATGGACACCATACAATCAGGAAATGAGTGGAGTGAACTAGAAAAAGAAAAACCCACCACCTTGGATTACATAGCTTGTTACGCTGTCTTTCAACAGTGTAGGTGAGATAAGAAGCTACCAAGCAAACATACAGGCAATGTGCTGTCAACAGACTTATCTTGAAAGATATGCTAAGAGAACTTCTTCAGAGAAGAGGAAAGACGCAACTCAGATCTACAAGAGACTGCAAACTTGGACCTCAATGAATAAAGGAAGCACTTTAGAAAGTAAACGAAGTGGCAGCAAAATGAGAAATCTTACTTTTCTCTTAGTGGAACATTTTAACATGCATTTGCTCACGTAGAATATGTAAATATATGAAACGAAGCATTAAAATAATGTAAAACACAGGAGGCAGAAATTGGGACAATAAGGTACTGATGCTACTTATGTTATTACACATTTTTAAATGGACCTGGATTCATTGTAAATATATATTGTCAACTCTAGAGAAAACTTTAAAAGTTCACAAAAGTAGAATTACTATGATAAGAAAAGAGAAAGACTTGGCATCATAAAATACTAACCACAACAGAAAGAAAAGGAGTGAAAATAAAAGCAGGAATAAAGAGCAAGAGTACGGAACAAAAGGCAGGAAGAAGCTGGAAGCACAACTGCGCATGTGCCTGCCACTCTGGATGCACAGGGTCTAAATGCACCACTTGAGAGGAGGCAGAGGTCGGTAGGGGGTCCAAAGAACTAAGACATACCTACACATTGTCCAAAGAAAGTCAAGTTTAAAGTTTCATATAAATTAATTAAGGCATGGATAAAGTTACACTGTGCTGATTAACCTATTTGTTGCTACTGTTTATAGTGATGGTTGTATTTTTGGTACATGTTACGTGTTTAATGGCATCTACAGTTGGAAAATCTGTAATTAATTACATATTTTGCAAGAACACTCATGTTCAAGTACAGTCACATTTATAATAAGCTATTGTATAGATTCAGGACTATGAAATTTAAATTTCCTAAGAAACATAATGGCTTCCCATAGCAACACATTCAACTATGTATACAGAATACTGACTCTATAATTATGTTACTAATGGGTTTTACTAACATTGCAATGGTTGTTGGGACTCACTGAACATATTGAAACTCACTAACAAAGCAAGTAATGTTGAAATCTTACCCTTTGGCCAGGACTTATTGAAAAAGAAATGTTCTCTAATATAGGATTCCCATCATCCCCATATTTCACAGTGAGGTCTTTGACAACCATTTCGCCCCCAGAGGGCCAGATATCAGTTTTCTTCACATGTTCATTCTCAATAACTAAAACTTTAGATGGATCTTCAGGACGAAGTCCTTTCATTATCTTGGTACACTCACTTTCTTCTTTTGGTATATCAATAAACTTAAAGACTCTGCTCACGGATCGCATCTGAAATGAAAATAACAGCATTTTTGTTTGGTTGAGAAGTATAGACAGTACCATACTTAGAGTTTGGTGTGGCCTAAAAAAAAAAAAAACCTTGTAAATTATGACACAAGTTACACCCAGCACTTGGTTATTCGTCAGGGTTTTCAGTGAAGTATCAGGAAATAATTAGATATAATTAAAAGCTTAAGAAGAGAATCAACTAAGAGTTATATAATTGGGTTCTATAGAAACCTGTTTATTTTTGAGATTGCTTAAATCTCAGTTACAAAGTCCACACACAAATAACCAAAATATTCTCAAGGACGTAGATGATGTCAAAGAGAAATATCTCCTCCCTTATGACAGTACTGAACAACACTGTACAGTTAGTATGTTGTAATAAATGTATCGTATTTTTAAACCTCTGCAGAGAGTTCTGTCTTTCTCTACCTACAATTCTATATGCCGACTCAGTTATGAACAGACGCTTAATGCTTAGTCAATTTTTAATGAGTCCACACTGCTCAAATTTAAGTCATTGCACAGATAGGAAGTTAAAATTTTACACTATTAATAAGTTACTTAAAAATAAATTTCTATCATCAGCAAAATGTGACTATATATAAAGGTTATATTTTTCAAGTAAATATGTATCTATAGTTATTCCTACTATAACATGATTATTCCATCTCCTTAGAGTACAAATATCCTTGGGTCTGGTGGCCACATGGTAAAATAAGCAGAATAATATACACTGACAGCTAGGTCTATGGGAATCATGATAGAGCTTTTGACACTCCCTAGAAGGGAGGAGAGGAGAGTCCTGGACCCTCACCTGGGATTCCAACCATCAGTCCCTCTTGCTTCCCCTCTGCAGTAGTTTGAATGTAACTGGCCTCCACAAGCTCAAAGGGAGTGGCACTATTAAGAGGTGTGGCCTTGTTAAAGTTGGTGTGGCCTTGTTGGAGAAAGTGTGTCACTCTGGGGGCAGGCTTTGAAGTCTCCTATGCTCAAGCTATGCCTAATTCAGTTCACTTCCTGTTGCCTGTGGATTAAGATGTAGGACTCTTCTAAGCTTCTTCTCCAGCACCATGTCTGCCTGCACACCACCATGTCCTGCCATGATAATGGACTAAACCTCTGAACTGTAAACAAGCCCAATTAAATATTTTCCTTTATAAGAGTTACGGGTCATGGTGTCACGTCACAGTAATATAAACCTTAATTAAAACACCCTCCCTTTTCAGCTGCCTATGATCTTGGGAGACCCTAGAGTATTTAGGAAGAAAGGAAGTGGGAAGTTAACCAAGAGGAGGACTTGTTGGGGCAGCTTTTATGAGGTCATCATCCATGATGGAGTTGAAATTTGTGGTAATGAAATCGTTTTACATTCACCAACAGTCTATAAGTAACCTGTCATCTAGGTTTACTGTAAGGCCAGTAAACTAACTCACTGTTCACCAAGTCAGACTTTATCTTACTTTTGTCTGTCTTCAGTGTCTAGGGGATAAAAAGATAATTGCTCACATATCCTCAGGAAAAGGATTAATTAATGCAACAATTTGACTTATAAAGCTTTTAATACAATATTCAATAACATGTATATATAATGTACACAGAAATAAATGAACTTGACTACTTTTAAGGGTAGTAAAGATTTTTAACAAAAAATACTGCTCTAAATAATTATGATTACTTTCTACTCGACACTTTTGAGACACACTGACATACAATAGATACTATCTGTTTTAGTGATAGTAATTGTTCCTATTTGAATGAAGACATGAATGAATATATGAATGAATAAATGCAAGCAAATAAATACCTAAATCTTGGTAGTTTTGAAAGGTAATATACATTTTTTGGCACAAGCACTATAACTTACATTCTCCATCAGTGACAGGCACCATTAAGTACAAATTCAGAACATCTAGCATTAAATGTGCAAAATGGGACATACTTATCGGGTGTTAAAAGTGAAAGTTTGTAGCTTGTTTCTTACAGTCTAGATACTTAAAATTACTCCAAAGTATGACTATTCCCTAATCAAAAACACATTATTCTATAACAGTAAGCACCCTCCACAACATAAAGGAAAGTGTAGTTCTATTCAGTATCATGGAACATTTTCTCACAGCCAGACAAAGTAGCAGGTGCAGGAACTTTCGACACTGTCAGTTTTATTACTATTGAAATGCCATAATGGAATAGGTCAGTCACTAACCAATTCCTTGAACCACAGGGCTGTCAGCATGTTGATTGCCTCTAGAAAGAGAACTCACATCAGAACCAAAGCAGAAAATTCAATGATTGTCTTTCAAGTTTCAAAAATTGGCTAATTTTTGAATTAATGACATAATGAGAGCTTGATGTTTTCAGTCATATGAACATTGGCTTTTAAGATCTCAAAGGCCAAGGCCCAAGTAAGGTATATCATTGTAGATATTCATGGCTTCCAAGAAACTGACCATTTGAGCTCAGGCTCTGGTGTCAAAGAATGACTTCAAGTCCTACAAAAATGAAAATCACTAGCCTAAAACACTGAAGACAAAGTGTTTTTGCCAAAGTGTGGCCTGAGACGAACTTAGGACGGCTGGTAAACAGCCTTCTCATCCTACAATATGAGGCAAAAAGAGGCTGCCCATGAATAAGGGCAACTTGGAAGCCTTAAATACTATAGTGTTGCCCTAAAAAGTGTCCTGTCATGTAACCAAACTTCAGTATCCTAAGGGGCATGGAAGAAACCAAGAAAAAGCTCAGCAAAATAAAGATGACATAATGGGACAAAGTCTCCGGACAATTCTTTTAGACAACATAGGAACATTTGTGAATCAGAAACAGAGAGCCCAGAAGGTGTTCAACTCTACTTGGAACCTGGCTAGATCTCTGAATTAGCCAGAATTCTTCCCTCCACTCAGCAAAAAAAGCATGTTCAAGTAGTAAATAACTTTAACTACAGCAAAGTTGAAGCCATTGGATGCTTCATTGGATGCTTAATTTCGTTGTATGCTTGATTTCATTGTCAAAGAGTCACATCCTCTGTAAAAATGGATCTCAGGTTTGTGGAAAGCTCGAGCAATTTGGTAGATCTTTCTTAAGAAAAAGAATTCAAATTATACATATCAAATTAAATATATAGCTGTTAATGCCAAACCATAAAGTGGGGGGGGCATCCTTCTTGAAAACAAAACTTCTAGATCCAAGATTAGAGGCAGCCCCTGTCATGCTAGTCATGCTAATGACCCTCTCACTATCTGAAGGAAGATTCAACTGATGCCTCTCTTGAACCCACCCTTCCCCTAAACCTAGTAGTTACGAACCGGATTGTAAATGTCCCTCAAAGCTAAAGTCTTGGTCCCAAGATGATGGAGTTTTGGGGACATAGTAGAAATAATGGGAGGTAAAGCACAATTGAGAGATGTAGGGCCCTGTGGGTTTGTCCTTGAGGGGATATTTACCATCCTAACTCCCTCCTCCAACTTCCTGGCTTCTATGAGGTAAGCAGCCTTCCCTGCCACATATACCTGTTGCCATGATACTCTGCTTCGCCAAAGGCCTAAAGTAGAGGCAGGTAATCCTGTACTGAGACCTCTGAGACTCTGAGCCAAAACAAATGCTTCATCTTTCCATGCTGTTTGTATTAGGAATTTTGTCACAGTCACAGAAATCTGACTAATTCCAGGGCCTTTGAAAGGGCTTATGCAAATGAGAAGACCTGAAGTTTATATTTCCTGGTTTGGTGATTAATCAATTCTGCTATTATAGTAATTGTTCGCAGTATTTCTTGTTTTACTATAATAATGGAATATTCAGACCATCTAGAGTTTAACACCATTTATATCTTTGTTCCTAATGAATAAGGCCATTGTTTTCTCTCCTATGTAGTGATAATGGGAGTACTGGGAGAATGTCAAGGTATGTCTTCAAGCCTGGGGATTTATAGCTCAGCCTCTCAGTCTAAAAGTAAACACTGCTGATTGGATTAGACAGAGGTTACAACATACCGGACTAGTTTCTCCTATTTGCTTTCATGGAACTTTTAAAATTCACTTAATTCTTTTTAAAATAATGTCTATTATACATTTCCACGTGATACATAAGAACCATGGAGTCATAGGGCTGGAAGGTGGCTCAGAGTTGGCAGTTATCATAAGAGCTGTAGACTGACATACTCCCCAGTATCAAGTTGCTGTTTCCTATGCGTAGAAGGGTTAAGAGGGAAGTAGTATGGGCAGCCCTGCCCAGGAAGGTAAGTCAGCCCAGGACAGGAAAAGTCTCTCTGTGGCTACAGTTTAATTACAATGAGGTTAGACAAGGGATTAGCACCTTTTTTTCTTATACTTTGAAGATAAAAGACAACACGAGAGCCAGGTGCTAAATCACTGAATATATTATTTATGGAAAAGAAAACTTAACATAACATAGATTCTATAAAATTAGAATTTAGCCAAGATAAAGTGAGAATTTTGCTTGAGATTCATGTACTTCTAACTGTTGGTACATTACTTAATTTCATTAAGAGCTAAAACTTTCCACTGAGTATCTTGAGGAGGAGTTGATCCATAAAACTGAATGTCATTATCTTTATTATAATGTCTAAAGGTACTAATCTAAGCATCAGGATAATAATGATGATGGCAATAACAAAAAGTAGTTCAATAGCTTCCTCTCAATGCTACTTTAAGAGGGAAGCATTTCAGTCAAAATGAAAACAACTCTAGATTTTCCTGCTCATCCTTTGTTGCTAATTATAGAGGTCATCACAGCCTGTTCAGGAATCCAGAAATGCCTCATAAAAATATTTGCTATATTTACTTCAATTGTTTAGAAGTCAGGACAAAATTATGTTTCAATGACCAAACACTCCAAAAGCCATGGCAACAGAGACATTACTTCCCATGCTTGAAATGTTCATCAATACTAGACAAAAATGCCATGATTGAATTTAGAAAGACTGTGAGGAGAATGGAGTGATGTCTCAGTAATAAAGAGCATTGGGTGCTCTTCCAGAGTACCTTGGT